TCCCCCCTCTCTACCCCCCCCCCCTCCTTTCTCTTCTTCTTCGTCGAACTCATGCGCTCATGTTTAACCGTGAACACACCGCGGGGCTAATAGAAAATATACGCTGCCGCCGCTCTCTCCGTGTGCACACCCCCTTTATTAATATCGACGTTTCGTGCGTTGCCGACATTAATCGTGTAATCGAGGTACGCTTCGGTTAGGTTCAAGGATCATAGCCGGTGGCTGAGGAGCCTCTTTGGTTCTCCTATCACGCGACTTCGATCGCGCGCGGCTTTTTGAGGGGTTCCTCCTTCAGGATGAAAGGGCGGAATCGTGTCTCACTCGATATTGTAATTTCGCAGTCATAGTGGATCGCGAATAAAACATCGGTTGCCCCTATTCGACCGCGATGAGTTAATTCGGAACTTGTAATCAATTTCTTAAATATGCAATGGATTTTAACTTTGATGATACGCTTATAAGAGATCATCTAAGAGTATAAATTTCGTCGAATCGTAATTTGCGTGTTCTTTTAATGTTTGGCTTTTGGCGTTTGAACAATGTGGGAACGATTACAGCTAGTGTGAACTACGCAAAAACCATATTAAGGATACGGAAGCGAGGAGATATCGCATAACTTTGATTATCACTGTACGTAATTGCTCGAGCAAGCGCGAGTTAGCGGTACACGAGTTCCGAGATATGGCGGAGTTGCATACCAACTTAAATAGCCTGGCACTTTATTGATGAATAAACTTCATTATACCGCTGCGCTTAATTGATTAATGAGAAATTACGAGACGGTTCTGTATACATGAAACGAGGAGTATAACGGGCGTTCTCTCCGGGGGATGATAATCCAGCCTAGTGCGACTTGAAAAAAAAAAACGAGTGGAAAGCGCGTTAATTAAATCTACGATGTAATTTCGCGCTTTCAAGGTTGTTCCCTGTAGTTCTACGTCTTGCGTTCCTTTTCGCACTGCGCAAATGAAATATTTTGAACACAAAACTACGAAAGAAAAATATATGGTAAATAAAGTGCGGTTTTTTGATTGCAATTTGCAATGTTTCTCCGGATTGTTATACGGAATAAAATTCAAAATGATAATTAAGCTTTCAATATCATTCGGGAATTTTTAATCCGGATATATATGGTGGGAAGAACGAACGTTTTATTAATTTTTTCGATTACGTTCAACTGGGAGGATCGCATTCTCGCAAGCATGAGTCTTCGCATTCCCCGGAGATTAATGGCGGCGTAAGATCGAATCCAGGCGATATCGGTAAACAGTTTCCCACTTATTATGCTCAAGATCTCCCGCTACGACTCGATTACAATCTAGCCGATGCTCGGACCGGGAGTTACTTCCGGTATTTTTACGCCTATACCTGCTTATAGTCTCTCCACGCCCTTTAATTATCCGCAGCTTGACGCCGAGGTGGATAGGAACGTTGTCATTATGACTGCGAACGAGACTACCGTGCTTGTTTCTTCATCGCCTTCTTCTCTTTACCATCTCTTCTTTTTTTTTTTTTCTTCTTGTGACTCGCGCAGCTCTTTCGTCTCTCAGAGATCGTGACGTTTTAAACACTGCGAGTCCCATTGTCCGCTCGGTTCAAGATCCGTTCTGCGAAACGCACCGATGTCCCCGTCATCGCTCCCTCGCAATCAAGTTCGCTCTATCAATCTCGAGTTTCGCGCGATTGTGTTTCTTTATGCTCGGAAAGAAATCAGTTTCTCCCCGGTGAGATTGGACAAGTCTATATCGCGACTTCACCCTAGACCCATTACTTTATTAGAGTGGCAATAAAACCATCGTCTCACTAAGATCCTAGCCGTAAAGTGGCATTAAGTGCCAGCTTTAAGTAAGCTTGTCGGGTCCCGGCAAGGAGTCTACAACATACGGCTCGCGGATGCTTTGTTCGCCACTGGAGTCCTTGCGAATCGCTGCGACTTTACGAGCCGATAGCCGGACAGCAGGCCGACCGTTTCTCGCTACGTCTATCTCTATCGTATAACTAAGTGCCACAATAATATGTTACTTATCGTGTGTGGAAACCGTATAGCGAGCACCGTAAAGCATCGTCGTTGAAACAACGACGACAGGTGGCCACGTCACGCGATCTTTCTCGTTGAAGGACCGGCGACTCGTGGGTGGTTCCTAATAGCTTTTAATGCCACGCCAACGTGATTTAGATGCGCACCGCTGGCCGCCGATTTGCACAAAGGATCTCGACGGTGCACTGACCGTCCTTTCGAGAGGAGAGACCCAGACTGACTCGACGGCGAACCCGCGCGTGCCCTTGAAATTCCTCCCGCGAATACCTGCGGTCGCAGCTTTCGGCCGCGCGCGCGAGCATAAAGTAAGATAAAGCTCTCTATAAAACTTGGGCGTGAAAATGGTGTTTCTTTCTCCCTCCGCGATACGACAGCCGCATGTGGCGGATTTAACGCGCGCGCGTTCGTAATTCTCTCTGCAGACTTAGACTCGCGTGAATTTTTAAGCGGTTTTACGGAACGGTTTTAATGCGCGAATGTGATCAGACGGATTTCTCTCTTTTTCTTTCTTCTCTCGGGTCTTTAACCGGCCGTTCATCCTCTCTGTTCGCTTACCTGGTCACAGAAAACCAGCTCTGCCATGTCGAATCGTACTCGAAAAGGGATCTCATTTTTCTAAGAATTTTGTTTTCTTTTTTAATCGTTGACTTTCCAGTCTGTAAAATCCGTCGTCAAACCAGAGACAGAAGGCAAAAGTTCTGTAAAGATATATTTCTGAAAAACAACATTTTTTTCATTCAAATTTCCATTAAAATGGACATTTGATTTTTTACTATTTCATACCTCGGTATCCGTAAGGCTTTGTACCAGATCTTGCTGCAGCTTTGACATTGCGCACTTCGTGTGATTCTCTCCCAACATATAGATAGTCTCCGCGTCCACCCACTGATACGCGCGATTCTTAGACCGTCTCGGGTTTCAGACGATTCTTTTCCAAAAGGAGCAACGCCACACGGATACACAAACGTCTACCTTCTAGATGTTGTATGCAAATTTCCCTGCCTCCTAGCCGGCACACCGCCAGACGTCGGGAATATGAATCATGCTGCGATGAGAGGCCGCTGCCTCATAACAGGAAATCCGTCCCCGTGCGCGATCGTGCAGATTCAAACAAAGCCCGATGCCATTCGCCTTTATCCCGCCCTTTTGCCTTTTTTTTTTTTTTTTT